AAGAGCGAGGAAAAAAAAAAAAAGAAGAAGAAAAAAGAAAAAAAAAACCAGTCCTCAGGGAGAAGGCTGAGAAGGGGCAGCAGAGCATCAGCCTATCGCAATAATCGCGACATGATGGGGCAAAGCTCATCCCGTTGGGCAATTCCCTCTTCCGGTCCGGGAGGTGCTGGGTTTTAGAGGGGTGGATGGGTGGAGGGTCCCGGCTGGCGAGGACCGAGGGCTGCCATGCAGCAGGAGAGGATGGAGCTGAGGAAGGGCTCAGGCTGCCCTGAGGCTCTTTGGGACCCTCAAGCACGCAGGGATGGACGGCCAGATTGCACTAATGGTGGCAGAGAGAGCGAGGTGGCCGTGGGTTGGTGTCTTCAGCCTCTAGGGGAAGGTTTAATCGAGAGGCGAATCAATAGCAAATATTGGAGGGATATCGGCTGTGGTCATTGGTCTCTGATTATCTTTGGGGCCCTTCATGTGGTTTGCCCTGAGTCCAAGGAAAAGACCCTCCCCCTCGGCTCATCCACCTCCCTGGATGGGGACACAGGGCAGTGCTTGAAGAGTGGCCCTGGGCCCCACAAAGAGGATCAGGGACTTATTTTTGGTATCCATCCATCCCTGGGGTGCTGGAGGCTCCTTTTCAGGCTGGCTGGGTCTGATTTAGGGGTGGAAAGAACCACCGCAACTTGTGTTGGAGCCTGCTGAGGCTCACCTGGTCCATGTAGTGAGACAGGGGCCGCAGGAGCCCTGGCTCCAGAAGGGACAAGGAAGCTCTTGATGTTGCAGAAGTGCCTTTAGGAGCACCGTCAGCTCCTCATCTTCCCCCCCCTACTCCTGAGTAAGGCCCTTTCAGGAGGGGTGAGAGCACATCTAAAGCCCCAGCTTCTCTAGGGCACCTCTCAAGTTGGCATGGGCTTTGCATGAGGGTTGTCATCATCACTGTCCTTGCTGGGCCACAGGCCGGATGCTGCCTGCTGGGAGAGACCAAAGGTGGTGCTGGAGAGGGAGACAGCATCAGGCCCTGCTTGGGCTGACTCTCCTCCATCTAAGCCTGGGACGTGGCTCAGCTGCGGCCTTGGACGTGAGCGTCCTGGGAGCGGGATGGAGCTTCAAGCAGCCAGGCTGGGTCTGCATGGATGTGTCTGTTGAATGATATGAGGGGAGGAAGCTTCTTCCAGGCTGGGAAAAGCTTTTCCAGCCCTTTTCACCTCCGCTTGCCCTAAGTGAACTATGCGCTCTCTTGTTTCCAGAAGGCAGGGAGTGTGTAAACTGTGGGGCTACCTCAACCCCTCTGTGGAGAAGAGACGGCACCGGGCACTATTTGTGTAACGCCTGTGGACTCTATCACAAAATGAACGGGCAGAACCGGCCCCTGATCAAGCCCAAGAGAAGGCTGGTGAGTCTCTCTTTTTTTTTTTTTTTAACTTCTACTTCCTCCTCAACTTTTGCTCCTTGCCCTCAGCCCAGGACGGAGAGGGAAAGCTCATCCCACACGGAAGTCTCGTCCTACCGTGGCAGAGAGATTGGGGGGGATGCTGCCCGCAGAGATGCTCACAGCTGCTGTGGGCCTCAGTAATCTTGCTACAAAACCGGCAAAAAATAAAGGTTCAGCCCTTATTAGAGTTTCTTGCAGAATAGAACTGAGATTTGTTACAGGTCGCTATAGGGCAGAGGCCTCTGCGTGGGGTTGTCGGGAGGTAGAGGTGTGATTCATGGCATGTAACCCTTGGGGAAAAGGGCAAAATTATTCCCTTCTGGTGACCAAAGAGGCTTCTGGAGAAGGGAATTTCCTAAAGGCTTCCCAGATGTCTTTGCTCCCTGAGTTGCCATCCCCCTGGGACGGCGGTGTTTTTTGGAAAGGTGTTTTTGGGGAGCGGGCCGACTGCTCTGGCAGCTGCCTTTGGGGCATCTCTCAGGCCTTGGTCCTGCAAAGAACTGGCCTGAGGATCCTTTTGGCGTGTGAACCTGGTAGGGTCGTTTGTGCTGGAGCAATGGGGTTGTCAAAGTCTGCTGTTCCTGCATGGTAGGAGCTTGTCACCCACTCCGAATCGATGTGAACGTGGCCAGAAGGTAGCAGATGACAATATCCATGAGTAATCCCCGTGCGAGGACTGGCGAGTGTGTCATGTAGCGCATGTGTCTTGGACCACACATGTGAGTTGGGGGGGCGGCGAAGTGCACATATAACTATCTGAAATAATAGTTTCAGACCTTGCGAGTGTAATATATACAGGCAATACGTTATAGCATCCCCTGCGATCTAGTTATGAATTTCCCTGGAAGCCGCAAAAAGGTCTGGAAGCTGTGGGCACGGCTAATAAATGCGTTGAAGTATATTTGGCAAATAATCAGGCAAACCACAAGGGGAAAAATATATCAAGTGGGAGAAAAAATATGTTCCCTGCCTGGGAAGTTATTGAATGTTTAGAATCGAGGCACTATTTAGTTTCATTATGATTAAAAACGCCGACAGGCTCCTGGGTGCTGTTTAAAGCGTGGAGAAACGGGTCCCTGCGCGAAACGGATCCCGCGGGGATGCTTCGGTGGCATGATTCACTGGTCTCAAGCTCAACATCAAGGCGCTGATGGCTTCTCTCCGGCAGCTCTCAGGCACGTATTTAGCTTTCTCACCTGCCGAAGGTCGGCAAAATCGGGCTAGTTTATTTGCCCAGGTTCTTGCGGCACGAGGCTGTGCATAGCCCGGGGAAGGGGCATGGCGCGAGGGGCAGCGGCGTCGGCTTTTTTTGGCCGTGCGTGTTTGGGAGAGGTGCAAGGTCTCTCCTTCGCCCCCCCCCAAGCCTCCCACAGGCGAAGCGTAATGCAAGGCAGAACGGCCCTGTGCCTTGCCCTGCTCTTTTCCCTTATAAGAAAACGTCGAGCTTACTTAACTCGGGCTCGTCTTTCATAGCCTTATTAGAAAAAAGGAAAGGCTTTCTAGGGAGGGAAGTATGGCTTGAGATTTTTAATTTTGGGGCAGCTCTCTTGTTTCCTCCTCCTCCTCCCCCCGGTCCTACTGTCTTAAACACACATACGGTTTTCTTTTCTTTTCTTTCCTTTTTTTTTCTCCCCCCCCTCCCGTGTCGTTCTGTCTTTATGTGTAAAGTTAACTTCCTAGGAAAAAGCTGCCGGATATCTGAGCCCTGGAGATAACTCATAAACAACAGCTCCGTTTCCCCAACCCAAACACACAGGAGCTTGAGCATATCCAAACAAGCAAAGGGGGAGGCAGAATAGGAAAGCGGCTGGGAAGCGGGGGAGAGCTTTCAAAAAGTGCCTGATGGAACCACACAAGAATGTCCCGAGTCACCCTGAACCCAGCACATGCAAAATGGAATAAATAAATAAATACATTTTAAAAGGTCATTCTTAAAAAAAAAAAAAAAAATCATAAACGTTAAAGGCAGACCTTGTCTTGCAAAACCATCCCCAACTTGGGCCTTTCGGTTAAAAGTTTAAGTTATAAAAAGTTCCCATCCTTTGCATACAGCTTCTGCTGAATAGGAACTTTGATTTTTCTTCTTTTTTTTTTTTTTTCTCTTTTCCAGTAGTGTCTGGAAAAAAAGAAAAAAGAAAAGAAAAAGGTTATAACTCTACCTGCGTCTATATTTATTTCTTTTGCTAACCTTCTCCAAAAAAAAAAAAAAAAGAGAAAGAAAAAAGGAACAGGAGGCAACAGAGCGCTGGGGCTGTTATTTGCATTTCATTGTGCGTGTGTGTATATATATGTAGATGTGCGTACCTCTGCGGCTCGACTTGCTCTTTCCTGCCTTTGGAGAGGAAAGCGGGCTGGAGAGGGTGGCACGCGCGTACGGACACGGGGCGGGGAGCCCGTGCGCGAGCTTCGCTCGCTGCCACGAGCTTCCTGCGTGACCTTGGGCTAGTTTTGTAGGCTCCCACCCCAAGCGCGATGAAACTAATGCCAGGCCCGTGACAGACTGGGGAGAGAAGGCAAAAAAATCCTGAGGTCCTTGAGAACCCAGCCTAACTCTCACGAAATTCATTGGGCGTCTTCATCAAAGCTTCCTTTACGGGAGATGGAGCGAGCTGGGCAGGCCGAGAGGCTCTGCTCCATTTCCAGGGGAAATCGTGGATGTGGCAGACCAGCACGGGCCGAGGGGGGACCAATCTCACGTGCCAGGTCTTGTACGATCCCGTATCGGAGGCCGTCCTCGTTCCCGCAGATGCCAGCGGCCGCCTCGTCGCTGACGTTGTGGAGACCGGGATAGAATCTTTTTTTTTCCTTGTTTTTCTCCCTTTTCTTGCCGACTTTGATTCAAAACTCTCTGTTTCAATGTCCTGCTGCGCTATTTTTAGGAGGATTATAGCCAATTTCCCAGAAGGCCCGTACGCGGATTTATGGGTGCTCAGGCTAATTTTAGGAAGCTGTCACTTGTAGCTCTTTGGACAGCCCATGTCAATTTGGACTCCGCAAACACCCCTCAGTTAAACATCTTTATCAGCACTCGGTTCCTCCTTCTGCATTTTTCTCCATTCCACCTTTTTGACCAATGCCAACGTTTCGGGCCAGTGCTGAAGGTTGCACCCTCCCTCGTACGCAACTAGGCCATGGGGTCTGTTCCTACAGACAGTATTAAGCACCTTATAAGTGATCTCATTACTGTTATGGTTAGGATTGGGCTGGCGACTAGTGTCCGTGCATGCCTCTGCTGGGATTTTTTTTCTTTTTTCACAATAATGTTATTATTCATTGTCTCCTGCCCACTACCAGTGTTTGCTGTAGGAACTGGTTCATCATGAGAGGTACAGCCTGTGACCAGGAGAGCCCGGGGTTTACAATACTCGGCTAACAACTCTACGGTTTCATAGGCAAAATACGGAAAAGTCTGTGGATGTTGCAGTTTATTCTTTTAGGAAGTGTCGGTAGGTGAGAAATTCTTTGTAATCCTGAGAAAGCGGCAAGATGGTGACTAGGCCCGTCTTTGAAATACCCTTGCCGTATGAGAAGTTATAGTGAGCGCGCTGTACAAACCCCAGATATCTTCAAAGGGGACGTTTCCCCTGTGTGGGCTGAGTCAAATATCACTGGTTTTCAGAAATTTCCTTAGGCTTGATTCTGAGTCTGATAAGGGCAAATCCGCCACCGAGAGACTCGATCCAGCCTCTGCTTCTCTTCCGAGCCACCCGCCATGGTCCGCAGGAGCCGGGGAACGCAGAAACTGCAGACTTTCCCCCCCCCGCCCCGGGGCTGGGGTGAGATCACGGCTCTGCAAACGCTTAACGTCCACGCTTCACTGAAGCACATGGGTTGTCCCACCAATTTCGCTGAGACCGCTGGCATGCGCGAGCCGCGTCTAGGCACATCGGGTTTGGGCCCTAGGGAGGTGCGCCGGCTTGTTGTCCCCGCAGCGGGATTGTTGCACTGAAAGACCTCTCGTGGTGTGCCGAGGCTCAGGAATTGCTTGCGGCCCTGCAGGGTGGTGGCAGACTGACGTGGAAGCAGGGCAGTGGAGCTGTCAGGCCCTTTTTCATCTCTTTCTCAGAGATCACTCCCTTCCCGCCGTGCAGCCCCTGCCTTCCCTCTGCTTTGAACAGTATCGGGTGGGCAGATGGCGTAACTCCCATGTGTGGTCAGCAGAAGTCAACTGAGGTCCTCCTTGTGCCGGAGATCAGCTCGTTTCAGTTAGATTTATGCCGTCTCGTGGTCGGGCAAAGCTCCCTTTGATTTTGAGGCTCTCCACAGTCCCTCCGAAGTCAGGGGTGTTCATCCTGCGTGCTTTGAGGTTTGGCCCTCCTTGGCTGCGCCAGTGCCGCACCGTCGACACAAAGCTGGTGGCCGACGATCACGGCTGAGGCCTCTCTGCTGCCTCTTCCTCCAGTGCCCGTGCAATCAGCTGGTGAGAGCCCCTTGCTATTAGATCAGGCTCGCTGCGATGTTTCTTAACGCTTGTGGGCATCATATTATTTATTTTTTAGACAGTCCTTTCTGTCTAATTAAAAAAAGAAGAAAATTCCTAGTCTATCTCAAACAGAACCAACCCGTCCTCTCTCCACCTACGCTGCATTCAATTATGATTAAAATTGCAGCATGACCTAACAAGAGTTGGTATTAAAGCTAGAGCTGTGCCAGTGTCCATGTTTGCATTTTGGGTTTGTTGTACGGTATCCAAAGATGCAGTGTTTTTTTTTAATGTTGGATGTGCTACAGTGTGCGTCTGTGTGGGGTGAGGGGTAAATTTGAAACAGTAATAGCACAAAAGAGAGCATTAAAGGCTCAGTTCTGCAAGGTGCCAAGCATTGCTATGATCTGGCAAATCGCTTAAGCACATGTTTTAACTTTAAGCACATGAGCAGTCCCATTGAAAGCAATGCATCAGGATGAAATCAGAGCTCTGGGACTATGTCATGTTGATGAAGAAGAGATACGACTGGGATCTAAAGGTCTTTTTTAAGAGCTGTAGGCACTCGCGCACACACAAACATGCATGCACGTTCATCTAAGTGTCTGCAAGCTCCTTTTCTTCCTTCAGGGGCAGAAGGACAATCTGCTAGCCAAAATTATAGTTTCTAAATGATAAACATAAATTCATGCATGTAAAAGAGAAACAACTTTGCTAAACTTGGCCTTGCTAAGTTATTATCGCAGCTAACAAGAAAGGCCCTTTGTACACTTTGACTTGTATACTTTTTCTGTTCCTCCTCTTCCGTGAAACAGTAAATTCTTATTTGAGGCTCATTACCAGTCCTTAAATAAACATGAAGGTTTAGGCTGTCAAAGGGTGTAATTAAAAAGTCGGGATTCTCACTCTTTGCCACAATGTTATTTCCGATCTGGAGCCCGTATGCTTTGAAGCTGAGCTGAACTTACGGGACCGGGCCTTGCTTGCGGTCAGATCCAAGGTGCAGCTGCCCACCAAATGCCACGCGGGTCTCATCCGACGCCTGCTGAAGCCAGCGTGAGTCATGCTGTTGACTCCGGCAATTGTTGGTTCAGGCCCTCGCTGCAGAATTAGACCCCTGGGGGGGTCGGAGGGAATTAAGATGGCAAGACGTGTTGGCATTTAAATAATATTTTCCCCTCTGGAATGGGTTGTGCCAGCGCTGCTAATTTTGATGAGTTCTATCAGAGGTTTAGCACTCACTTTTTAGGATGCCCTTTGGCACCTGATTCAGTTCCTATATAATTTGGGATTAAAGTACCTCAGGGATTTTTTTCAGAATTACTATTTGTTCTCACGAGCCAGTTTCTGGAGGCCTCTGCCGATGCGCGTCAGTCTTGCATGGCTGCTGTTTTCTTTCTCAGCAATTTTGCTGATGGCATCTTTTTAACACCGGCACTTTTCTCTCCTTCTTTTTCTCCCCCTTCTTTCCCCCCACCCCCATGTGCACCCCCCCCTCCTTCCCTCAGTCTGCAGCTAGAAGGGCGGGCACATCCTGTGCGAACTGTCAGACCACCACCACCACCCTGTGGAGGAGAAATGCCAACGGCGATCCCGTCTGTAACGCCTGCGGGCTCTACTACAAGCTGCACAATGTAAGTGTGACGGTAACGCTCAGTAGCGGGCTGACGGTTCAGGCGCTTCCTGACTTCGGGAATTGCGCTCCTCGACGATGCCGAGACCTCCCTTTGGGAAGCTTGGGGGTTCGAGCGATGGGCTGGCATCAGGAATGGTCCTCTCAGGCAAACGTAGCCGATCCGATTTGGGAAGTTATAAAAACATGAGCGGCCAAAGGCAATGTTAGAACTTTCCCATGCTTGGGCCAAGGAAGGAGGGGTGGATCAACACAGAGAGATATTATCCACCGCTGATTGGACTCAGTGCATTGGAAAAGACAACATGCCGCCTTGCAAAGTGATATCCCTTCTATGCACAGCTTGGTTCCTCCAGCAAATACGAACTCCGGAAAAAAGCAAAATGTGCCAGCAACTATTTAGATCTTTCTTAGGTTGTGACTGTCTTTGTCTCGTCCCTCCGCCAGTCCCCAAAGATGATTTATTTAGGTCTCCTCTTTGCCCTGGTTGACGCAAACGATTCCTAAACCAAAGAGGACTTGATTTAGTTAGCGGGTTGCAGAGTCTGCTCAACCTGTGATGTGAATTTTAAAGCGCCTGTCATGGAAGGGAAGGAGAAACGAAATGAAATGGTTGGCAGATTTAATCTAATATCTCCATGCAAAACCAGCTTGCAGGAACCAGGGATATGTGCCCCAGGGAATTTTTAAAATGTTTTCCTGAATAATACTGCTAATAAAGGAGTCTTAAGGCTACTCCTGCTACTCTCATTCCATATGTGGCATTAGAATAATTACTGTGTAAGAAGGAAAAGACTTTCCATTGCTTTGCTTTGATACAACTTCTCTTTTTTTCTAGTGGTCCTTTGCTTTATGTTTGACTTAGAAATCTCAGGCTATGTTTTGTCCTCATGTGCACCCACGCAAACACATCAAAGAAGAATCAGGTTTCATGGGGCAGCCAACCCTTGTGATGTCCCAGTCCCTTCTATTTGTTATTTCAAGCTCTTTGGTTTCTTGGGATGAGTAAACGAGTTTGGATCAAGTCGGAAAAAAAAAACCACAAACAGACTAATTTTTCGCCTGTTCCATGACAGGCATCTCTCCCGTAAAAAAAGGAAAATTTATTTACCCATTAGTGGGCAGGTGTCTAGCATATTTTGCGTCCTATGTAGCAAGCAATAGTTGTCATCAAATTCTCTGTCTAATCACTGAAAACAAGGGAAATGAACCAGGTACTGGGAGTGACAGCTCTCAAAATATCGTAAGAAAATATTCGCCTTTTGCTATTTCCTTGGCAAGAAAGGAGCAGTCAGCCAGCTTCATAATAGAAAGCTGTGCTTGTGCTGTGTTTTCATTTTGGCCTTGCAGCCACCAGAGGTAGGATTTGAATCATGGAACCTGGGACACGTACAGTAGGGATGCCTGTATCAGAGCTGCTCCCTGGCCTCCAGCACTGTCCATGGAAGGAAATAGACACTTCTCAGGTGCTGTTCGTTTGACCTGGTGAAGATACCTGTGTTTGGAGGAGATGATGTGCGCTCCTGAAGAGTCTCTTTCTCTCCATGACTACAAAGGGAGGCACAGTGACAAACTCAGATGTAAATACCTATACTGTAGACATTTGACTGTAGGAATCTCCCCTAAGGTGTCTGGACTGGTGTCTGAATTTTTGAGTTCTTCTCCAGAAATGAGCCTGTGAGAGCACCTGTTGTTAATCTCTCCTTCTCCCTCTTTCTTTTTTTTTTTGCCATAATGTTATGAACCTGGTTGGCTTGAATCAACCCCAGATCCACTGTTTAGGGAAGCTCAGATCCAGCTGTGAAATTTGTGACATGGGGCAGGCCTTGAGCAGATTGGAACTGTTTTCATATTCATTAAAAGCATAGTCAGCTGCTGAAAAGCTCAGCACAGCTACTTACCAAAGTCAAGAAGCATCTTGCCTTATGCACAACTCCATTAATGGGACCTACTTAAATGAAACCCCTAGAGGACTGAGATATGTGCACAGCAGTATGACTGGGTGAGGATACCAGAATCTGGCTATGAACGGATAGGTCTTTATTTTTGTCTTTTCTACTTTTCCAAGTAGGTGGTGCCCAGTTATTACTCTGGTGAGAAATGGGAAGTGGCACTGTATTAGCCCTTGAAAATACTGCCCCCAGGTCTAAAGATCCGTGATGGCTTAGGATTACAGCATTTTTCTGCCACCCAAATTGCTTTAGAGTCTGTGACTGTGAAGGCTGCGTTGTACTTTAGAAGCAAAATACAAGCGATTTTTTTGTGACTGGTGGTAAGGCAGTGGCGGTAGCTTTACCAAAATGCCTTCCCTCTTAGGCTGGGAGTCAGGAACTACACAGCTGTGTTAACTGCATCGTGGAAGGCACCAGCATAACTCTTTAATCAGCTCAGGGTGGGGAGGAAGTTTGGTGATTGCATGTGGACAAGTTTCCTTGGCTGGTGCAAACTGGTACTGGCCTATTGAAGGGCAATATCCATTTGTGTAGGCTGAGGTCCTACTGCTTTTGTGTATCCAAATCTACACCACTTCTGAGTTAAGAGAAATGTCAAAAATAATACATATGTTACTAAGACTCCTCAAGCATGCCTCTTCCAAGCAGCCCAGTCTGCTAACAGGTTGCGTCAATGCCAGTTGAAGGCCTTTGGCTGCTTGGAAGATGCCTTCGCTCTGTTTTAGGTAGGATTATAAGATGTAACAAATCATATACAGGAAATTCCTGGCTGCTTTTTTATGTCCCCCATTTTGTCTTTTCTTTGGGTTTAATAAATTTTATTTGAACTTTCCCATTGTTAGGGTATTTTAATGAATTGATCTGAAGATGAAGCTTGCCCAGTTTTTAAGTCTGTATCAGGAATGATAGTAGGGCTGAGTCCTACTAATCAGTGAAAAGGCAATAATACCGACACTATTTCATTCTTGGGGCTTGTTTCCATGTTGATTTCCACAGCTGAAGCAAACCCAATTGTCAGTAGGATGTAAGTAATAATCATAATAGTCTTGGGGTGCATTTCAGCTTTTAGTGAAGCTGCTGGCATTTCTCCCACTGACTTTAGCAAGAGCAGGCTACGTTAACACCAGTATTAGCAACGACTAGTATTTCGTATTGATATGGCGCCTTTCATCCTGTGGCATCCCAGGGTGCTTTCTAAGATACAGCCACTCTGGAAGATTAACCCAATGTTATAATAACTATGTCTAAAGGATAAATCCGCTTCAGTGACAGGACCTTATTGAGGTCAATGGCAGAATCGCATTGTCTTCAGTCAGAGCAAGATCAGACCTGTAATGTGTAAGACTATCCCGTGGACTTGATCTATTGAATATGAGGTTCTTGTCCTTGTTATTTCAATATTTCTTAGAAATGAGATAAGCCTTCACGCATTTCAGAGATGGGTGGGTGGATGGATGGAAGGGCCTGTACCTTGCTGAAGGTGCAGAGCAGATTGGCCTGCACCCATAGAAATGTGTTAGCTGTCATTGCTTTTGGTGAAAGCCTTCAGAAAAGGCCTGTATATCATAATAAAAAAGGCAGGGCTATGTGTCCCAAGAGCAGAAGAGTGTTTTTTTTTTTTTGCATATGATAAAACAAAGAGCATTATTCCTAGCCAGACTGCCCATGATTAATTGGCTCCATATGAAATTAACGGATTTCATATACACGTGTTGGGCTGGTTTAATTTTAACGTAGCATGTGTTTATCATTTCTATTGCAATGAATTTTCATGGAAAAGGGCTTCCCTCTGGCTCTCTTATTTATATACCCCAGAAGCAGAGATAGGTCCATCACTTTGATGTTTTGGGGAGCACTTCAATTTTGTTGGGACAGCTCTTTAAAGTCAGTGGAAAGCAAAATTTTTTTCCAGCTTGCTGCTATGATTGTGCTGGTGTTTGCTGTTGCTATTTGCCTGAGTTCTCATCTGTTTGGCACTTGCAGTCAGGTACTGTGCTAGGAGCTTGAGACCACGTACACCAGAATGCCGTAACAGCTCGGATCGCATCTCTGACCCCAATTGCAGCACTGGCCTTGGCTTTTCTGCCATCCTAAGCAAAACTGACATTCCCATCCTTCAGATTCACATGAAACCGTGGCCTGGGGCAATGGCTCCTTTGTGATTGCATAACACTTGGGAGATGTTGCTCTGGGGACCCGAGCAGCATCCTGCAGGCCAGATTGCAAAGCTGGCCACGCTTGCCAGCCAGCAGGCTGCGGGGTGGTTTGTGCTATCGGCATAAATATTGCTGCCCTGTGATGGTCACCTGGGGCTGCCTCATGAATATCGAACCTGAGGGACACATCGCTGCTGGCTTGCTTGAAACAAGCCAGGAAGAGCTTTCTCATTACCAGCCTAGGCCAGGGCTAGTGGCATAGCAGTTAAGGGGCTTCCTTGTGTGCCTGTCCCAGTTCTCTCCATTAGGACAGGAAGCCAGGAAGAAGGGTGATATTGTATTTAAGGCCCATGACATTTGAGGTTTTTCCTTGCTGCTGCCCCAGGGTTCCTGTTGGTCAACGCATGAGCGGGCCTCCTCTTTCCTACCTCTAGCGGTCTGCAAGCTGGGCTGCTCTCTCTTTGTACGGAGTTAGAGGTGCAGTTTCTCATCATTGCTGGTACGGAGAGCCCGGGGTCACTAATGCTGACCGAGATGACGAAATTTGGGTTGCCTGAACTGCAGTAGTCAAATCTGTTCTTTCCTCTTGCCATGCCTCTGTCCCTGTGTATAACAGGGAGCTATTGTATCCTGACCTCTGTGGGGACAGAAAGCAGTGAATGATCCTTCTGCTGTGGTGAAAAGTACCAAATAGTGGCTTGTAAGCAAGAAATTAAACTGCTGTGATCTTAAAGAAGGGAGCGCTTTGTCCCTTCCGTTCACTCAAAAGCTAGAAAAGGAAGATCTGCTCAAGATCCTCGCAGGAACATCTCTGTATTGTCCTTCGCTAGGGTTGAGACGGTAGTTACTGATGGAAAACCTATCAATTTTTCCCTCCTCTTCTCCATGTTGCAGAATATCCATCAGCCCAGCTGTGTCCTCACATTTATTATGAAAAGCAGTGTTCAAACCTGGATATTTTTTCCTCAGCTGTCTTGAGGACTGCCTTTTGCTATGAGTGAAGTCCTACAGAGCAGCCAGCACAGACCTATACCTGACTAATTCCTCATGTAGGCTCCCAAGTCCAGACTTTTAAGGCTGCTTGTGGTTGATAGATGCATAAATCGCTTCCCGAGGGTGGTCTTTGAGGCTTTCGTGGTACCTGTGCTAATGCGTGTTGTGATACTAGATCTCCATGCAGCACAATGAGTTCTTTATAGTGATTAGATAGACCTCTTGCTACCGTTCCCTAACCCTGATGGGTGTACAGACTGAGATTTCTGCTGCATACATCCGTGCAGGAGAACATGATGCTTTGGTTATGTCCACATGCAAGTAGCAAATGTGCCCCCTGCCAGGCAGCGGAGATACTGTTCTACGCCAGAAATAAGCCTGAAACGATGAGGGCAAGCTCAGAGCAAAATGTTTCCATAAGGGGACAAGTAGTACAAACATGAGTCGCTTTTGTGAAGAGTTTGCCCAGCTCCCTAAAGCTGCTGTGGAGGTTTGGGGCCCCTCGTAGCACCGAAATCCCAACAGCTGTTGTCGCTAATGGTTTTAGATCAGTCAGAAAGCCTCAGGGTGAGACGGTGTCTGTAGGGGATATTTGAAGGTGATAATAATTGGTCTCATTCCTGAACACACTGCAGTTACCTAATGCCCAGATAGCTGAAATTTTTTAGCTGCTGCAAGTTACTTAGTTGTGTTTTGCCCCAGTCAGACTCTGCCAGCAGTTTGCTTTCGTCTCATCCTCAGAAGTTTCAGCCTGACTTGGAATTTCTTGAAACTTCCTGGGGCAGATTCAGCCCCGATCTGAAGCTTTTGGGAGGAGAGGATTGGTGTAGCCAAGGCACAAGGCGAGGGTGGGAGTGGTTGACCGGTTAGCCTTGTCCCGGCACGTCACAAGGACTGCCGAGACATGGGGGTACCCTAATCCCACGGTGGTTTGGGGAGAAGGAATGGAAGCACAAAAAAAAATAATTGATTTTTGTTTAGATTAACAGACCCCTGACTATGAAGAAAGAAGGAATTCAGACCAGAAACCGAAAAATGTCTAGCAAGTCCAAAAAGTGCAAAAAGGTCCACGACAACCTTGAAGACTTTCCCAAGAACAGCTCCTTTAACCCCGCCGCCCTCTCCAGACACATGTCCTCTATCAGCCACATTTCACCTTTCAGTCACTCCAGCCCTATGCTGACTACACCGACACCGATGCATCCTCCATCCAGCCTCTCTTTCGGACCTCACCATCCTTCCAGTATGGTCACTGCCATGGGTTAGCGAGAGACTCCCCTGCTGAATGCTTACGGTCTCAAAATGAGATTTACTTTATATACTTGCATTTTTGCAGGCGTGCGGTTATGGGTCTGATGTCCCGAATCAAATGGGAGGGGGAAAAAAGAATTAAAAAAAATTAAAAATGTTATTTGAAGGCGTAAAAGTGGAAAAAATTAAAAAAAACACAGAAAAAAACAACAAAAAGCACAAAAAAGAAAAAAAAGAAAAAAAAGAAAAAAGTAAAAAAAAAAGTTTAAAAAAGTGATATTTGCCACTTTTTAAAGGAACTCACTATGGCGTCTATGTATTCTTACCCACTGAATCTGGATACCATTTGTGAATAAGCCATTCAGAACTTGCATTCCCTATTGGACAGGATCTCTAGTGCTGTGAAAAAAAAATAAAAAATAAAAAATGCTGAACATTGCATATAACTTATATTGTAAGAAATACTGTACATTTGAGGAAGACTTTATTGCATCTGGGGAGCCGCAAAGAAAAAGGCATGAAGGACTCCGAGAGATTTTTTTTAAAGGAAAAGAAAAAAAAAAGTGGACGGGAGGACAATTTAAAAAAACAGAAAAACAAGCAATGCAGACCAAGAGGAAACACGGTCTTACGAACAAATGGACCAACTGCCAGTCATGTCTTCTCCTTTTATTTTATTTTTTGTTTTTTGGTTTTTTTTTTGGTTTCTTTTTCGTTTCTGGGGAGGGGGAGGGGGCTGGCTAGAACGGTTTTGATAATGCATTAACTAACTAACTAACTAAATAAATAACTAAATAAATAAAACCTGTAGGGAGATCATTCATTTCGGGCCATGGGCCTTTTACATAGGAAGTACCAATGGTGTCAGGCAATCAGTGTTAACATGCGGACATTGCCAACAAGGGGTTTTCAGATAGCCATTCTCCAGGTCTATACGCATTGTGAACAAGTTCCTGTAATTGTTGTTTGTATGTATAATCCAACGCACCAAAATAAGAAAGATGTAGATTTATTTCATCCTATTATACAGACTGAATGGTTGTACAAATTTATTTACTGCTAGTGATAAGACCTGCTTTTTTTGTTTTGTTTTCATATTTTTTCCTCCTTTTTTTTTTTTTGGAGAATAAACTAGATTAAATTCTGTTGACTTAAAAGTGTTTTGTGCTTGGGGGTGAGAAGGGGAATCTGTTTCTTTCTTTATTAACTTTTTTTTTTCATTTGCTTTGATGGCATTTGATACATAGCTTCCACGGGTATGGGAATGTGTGTCTTTTTCCACTCATGCTGACAGCCAACGCAGTGTTTGCCGTGGTTTAAACAACAATAAAAAATGCAGAACAAAGCAAAAAACCCCCAAATAAATGGACAGTATGTCCATATGACCCCACTGCTTGGTGTATGTTCCCTGTTCCTTGAGTCACAGCTCAGCCCTGTGTGCCGTCGGGCTTCTGCTTCCCTTTTGGGACGGTTCCCATGTAGACTCCGTCCACTGTGGCCACCACGGTGACAGACCCGTCTTGCTGCCAGCGTGGGGCTGGGATGTGTACGAAGGTAACCGTCCATGCTACTTTTTTGGGCTGTACAAAGAAAGGCCCCCAGTCTTTGGAGAAGAGCCTAGTGTAGACCCGCACCTGGGAAAGTGCTTTCTGCTCTGCTCTGCTCACTACTATGTGGTATCATTCGACGGTCTGAAGTCGAGATCTTGGTGTGAGGTTGAGATGTACCAAACCCCATACTTCTGCGTGGAGGAGCGAGCAGAACCTGTTATAAAAGACTAGATCTGTTGGTAGACAGATGATGATGCCAAAAGTTCAAAGGTCATTGGCCAACCTCTCCCCCAAGATATTTATTTGAAATAGCACAGTTTATACTAATATTATTATTAAAAATAGCAGCATTTGGCTATTGTCATTTGCTTTACGATGGTTTAATCCTCAGGATTCATCCCTAGTCTTTAGTATTTATGGTTCCAGCTTATTTATACCATCATAAGGGATGGATATTTACCTTCCAAATGAAGACTTAAACTTCTTAGCAGCCAACTCTCTTTGCTGGATATTTAATTATGGGGTAGTGAGACAGGAGTTGGTAATCTTGTGAGAAAAATAATAAAAAATCCCGAGCTAAAAACAACCCCCAAACCTAAATACCTCAACAGATGCAACCTGCAAATGAACTATTTTTGGGTAGGGGATAAATGAGCTGAGTTCTTCCACCCTGAAATGTGTGTACTACTGACTTTCAATGCCAAGGGAATGTAAAATATCACCATATTTGCCAGATGCTGTTCTGGACTCACTTTATCTTCAGAGACAACATTAGAGGCTAACAGTGGTGTGGTCTCCTCTTGTCTGTAGGACCGCTCACTTGAGTAAGGATATTTTGTGTAAGGAAGGCTTACAAGACCACTCCTTGGAAACTTTTAGGATGAATATACACAGGGTCAAATAATAATTTGATTTGGGAATAGGGCGGAGGGAGGAAAGGGGTTGATCTTTGTTTTGGCTTTTTCTCCCCCGTTTCAAAATGAACCTAGTCAAAATATGTCTACCACAAAGGAGGGCTTGACAGGATGTAAGTGGAACATGCAGTAATCGCTTTGTAATGTTGTATATTCTTTCCTTTTTACTCTGTTGACAAAATGTATAAGAATAGTCAGACCAATGGCACACATTTAAAATCTTATGTTAATCACCTTTCTGCTTTCTCAGCAAATATTTTAAACATAAAGGCTAAATGTCAAAATAAAACAGAGTGAAGAAATACCAAGATGCAAATGGAGAGCTTATTGGCTCCTAATTAATCATCTGTGAACGCTAAAGCTATTTTCAATTAGTCTGACAAATCAAAGGAAGTAATCATCTTTGCTGATATTAAGCTTGAGAGATTATTATTTTTTAATTCACAGTGCTACAACCTTTCCCTCCTTTGGCTCATCAACAGACTGCAGTTAGACTAAGATATTGATCCCAGTTCCTTGGCCATGGTGTAAATTAAATGAGGATTCAAACAGCAGAAACTTGCACTCGTGTATTACTGTGTTTGAATCTTTCCATTTACTTTAGTTTCTCTCTCCAACTCTTTCCTAAGACCTGAAAACACTTTCTCCTTGCAGTTTCCCCCCCAAAGCAGTTTCACACTTCTTAGTGGCATTGAGTGAGATGAAGCAGGATCGGGCCCAGCTCAGAGAATTAGCATCATTAAAAGGTTTCGAAACACAAATGCAGACGCTCTGTATACACTCTAGAAAATAAGCAGAGTTTGTTTAGACAGCTCTTATATCAGAAATAAATTATGAGGTGGAGCTCCTGGTGAGCAGGCTTTTGCAATCCCGTCTCATTTCGAGGCATGCCGATACCAAGAACAGTGCGAAGGGGACGTCTCACTTTGTGCACACCATGCGTATGCCCAAGGTGCAGCGTGAGATGTCAAATCAATGCAAGTGGCTTAGTAGCTTCTCAGCTGCTTTTTTTTTTCCCCCTTGGTGATGAGGATCGCTAGAATAAATATTACAGAATTTGATTGTCTTAGAGGGTTTCTTTTGTTTGTTTCCTCCCTTCCCTGTAAAACACTGGAAAAAAGCTGTTTTTACAGAAGAGCCCACAGCTGTTCCTTGGCAAATCTCTTGTGGATGGGGACTCTTTATTTCTGAAGAAGCAGGGAAAAGCAGATGATGGGCAGGTGGAGCACGGAGGCACTGTGTGCTGGTCATGGCTTTGCTTAGATAATCTAGATTTCTTAGAAATACCATGGAGGTCCTTACTGAGGAGTCAAATCTTGTGGTCTTTGTGCAAGGAAAATGCCTTCTGGGAATTTTGCATGAGTAATAACTGATGAGGTGATGTGACCGTGGTAACGGTCTTATTCATGGCCTGAGCAAAAGTCCGTTGACATCAGTAGGAAGATTCCCACTGATTTCAGTAAGACTTCAATTAAGCTCTCCTAAATATTAATTTCAGTGTTATCATCTTTGATTTATCTATTTTAATTAACTTGTCGGCTGCACCTGTGCTGAGTTAGTACACATGTGCACGCACAAAAGCACACACACAATTTTGAAGGTCAATTTTCAAGGTTATAAAGCCTAACGCTCCAAGGTTCAAGAGACAAGAAAAGCCATTATTAACACTTTCTGCAAAACCTTTGCTTTTCACCTACGCATTTAAATTATGAGGTGCCTTAGGGCACATCCACACTAGCATTTGGGTTCAGATTAGGAGCTATCTGCTTTTGAACTGATTTCCCAGTAGTCCCAGCTTAGAGGATGACCCCAAACTGGACAGTGTGCCTCACCTGATGTGCTACTACTGCTAATGGGTGTTCGGTTCATGGGACCAAACTAAAACCAGTCTGCAGCAACCCTGAAAATATGGTCTTGGGTCCTCAGCACCAGTTGTTTTTCTCTCCAGATTCACTCCTCTTGCACTGCATCCCTTGCTAATGTAGATACTACCCTAAACGGCACATTCACATACTCCTTTTTGACCACCCATTCTTCTGCTTCACTTAGGACATGTTGTCCTCCGTGGAAGAATCAGGGCGGGTGAGAAGGGGCCTACAGGAAACCTGTCTTGTGTTTTGCAGCGTTTCGAAAGCGGACAGAATAAGAGACTGGAGGAAGTTCTTATGGAAAATACAGGTAAATAATGCCTTAAAAAACTACTTATTTACCCCATCTCTGCCACAGAGGTCCTATGCAGTGCTGGGAAACTCACTTAACCCAGGCTTGTCACACAGGGACAGCCACCAGTTGTGTGATCTTCATTTTTGGAGATGCCCAGTTTCACATCCTGAGGCCCACTCTGCAGAAATGTTAAGTGCTGTTAGCGGTATCTGACATACTTACGGGATCTTGTGTCTGGATTAATGCTGGTAAAACACCAAATTCTTTAAAAATATAGTGTTTGTCTCAACCTGAACTCCAAATCCGGGGCTTCTTTAATTGTTCCGTGTCTCATCTCTTGCACTTCCTTATGTGCCCAAATCTGGAACACAGCCAGTAACTCCTTCTCTCCTCAGAGAAGTGTTGTGAACATAAATCCATCACTTGTGAAGTGCTCAGATACAGACTGATGAACATCATGAAAAACCCACTGTGGTCAACTGGTCTGTAGGAAGAGAGGTGTGAGAG